GACTTCCCATAATTGGAGAATTTGGTTGGCTGCTGTATTAGGAGGGGGGTACTGCCAAAGTGTTGGTCGGGCGTTGCCTCGGCGACAACAAAGTGTGGTCCACGTGTGTTCGTGGGACCATTTTTCCGCATCACAATGGTTGCACGGTCCCAAGGTCGACAGTGTCAACCAATGTGTCCACAGTAAGAAGGGTCGCAGTGTGAAGTCGTCCACTGTTGTTGTGTGGCGAAACCCGCAGTATGTGTGCTTCTCTGTAACGTCGTTGTCGTTCTGCATGCACCACTTTTCTCCTTTGAGCAGCAGCACGCGATGATTCGCCTGTGCATAATGCAAATGACAGAAGAGAAGAGAGGAAACGCAAAATTCGCATGTGAGGTGTCGAAGGACGGGTGAAAGAAAAAAGTCGACGAATGTTGTGTTCAAGTTTGTTTTTTCTCTTTCAGATTGGTATATGGAGAGGGAAACATCGTCATTGAGACACCCGGAAAATTCGCAACACCGGTGCTTTGTATTGCGTGGAAAGTGCCGGGTTGAGAGTTTACACACACAAAAAAAAAAAAAAAAAAAAAGAGGAAAAAAAGCACGCTCGAAAGGTTCGGGTTGTATATAATTATTCCAGGAAGCTTTCTATCTCGGGCGGGTCTGGACTGGCCGTTCATCCGGGCATGACACTGAGGGGGGTCTGATGGCCGGGATACCCGGGGATGGCAAAAAAAAGGAAAAAAAAAAAAAAAAAAAAAAAGGCGCTCGGGGTTTTCTGCGCTCTTGTTTTGAGTATTGGCCGGCAATCCCGTAAGGAATTATGAGAATTTTGCGGCATTTGTGTTTTTTTTTTTTTTGTTGGCGGTAATACGGCCCGGGATCATGCCCGGGGGTCACGGCCGAAGGGCAATTTTTTTTTTCTGCAGAAATGGGAGCAGGAGCGGAAGGTTCGCCATGTATGTGTAGTGCAGTGTCAGGCGCGTGCAGAGGGGAGGAGGGAGAGGAGCCGTGGGTTTAGCAGAAAGGTTTTGCTGAAAATCCCCTTGACCTTCGGGCATGCAGTTTCGCCACATCAGCACGTGCAACAGGTGTTTTTCCATCCGGTGCCGTAAGATTCGTTGAGCTTTGGTTATCTGTCTATCGAATTGATGCAGCCAGTCTGCGGGCGGGCCACGGGTCGGACAGCTGGCTGTTCGGGGCTGCGTATTTCATCCACTCTCTCTCCCTCTCTCTCTCTCTCTCTCTCTCTCTCTCTCTCTCTCTCTCTCTCTCTCTCTCACACACACACACACACACACACACACACACA